GTGAGAGAATGGATGGTGTGGCAGTGAGATGAGGGAGATGGTGTGGCAGTGAGACAATGAGAATGAAAAAAGTTGGTTTGAGAGCCACTACCATCACGCTAGATGGTAACTCTGTAAATAGAAAGTTTATTAAGATAATAGGTGTAGGTAATACGGTGTGTCACAAATTCAGTAATCCTTTGACTTTTAATGAAAGAGAAGTGTACATTTTCTCTGATCCCCCACACCTTATTAAGACGGCTTGAAATTGACTATCAAACCCAAGTAGGAATACAGAGGTAAGCATACATGTATATTCAACATTACTAACTCAACAATTCTACAGTTCAGAGGCCACTCAATCAGTTGGAAATACATTCGGCAATTATATGAAATTGCTAAAGCTGCACCTGTTACTACAACGCCAAGACTAAAATATGAGCACGTACACTTAACACCAGTTTCAAAAATGAGGGTAGACCTTGCAGCTCAAGTATATCACATTTTTTGCATATTAAATTTATTAATTTATGTAGGCTCTCAGTCGAAGTGTTGCAGTAGCATTAAAAGTCCACCTTACAAATGAAGCAAAGGAGACAGCTGTTTTTGTTGACATGTTTGACAGGTTTTTTGATTTTTAAATGTAACAAATTACACCAAGTGCATTACTAAATGAAAGGAGTTCCAGGGACAAGCTAATGACTTCAGAATAGCAGTTTGTTATAATAACATAAAATTATAATTTTATTTAAAATATAAAGTGGCTTAAAGGAACATTCCTCAAGTGGCTAGATGACTAGGAAAATGAGGTAAAAGCAAGAAAAGATTTGAAGTGCATCGAAAGACAGAAGCTGATACTAAGTAATGAAACATTGCTAGGTATTCGTATAACAGGTAATATCTTACTTAATTATGCATGCGTTGTAGCTTATTGCTTTGTTGACTTATCGGAATTCATCTTAAAAATTCCTGGTGTAACATCCTTTCTTAGTGAGAGAATATCGCAGGACCCGTTAGAGAATCATTTTGGGAGGCACCATCAGAGAGGAGGGGTTAATGAGAATCAAACAACTCACGAGTTTTAAAAAAATAATAATGCAATAAGAGTTGGTAACTCAATAAAAATAGATACTCACAGAGGAAACGTTGATCGACACAGGAGTGAAAATAATGCTGTTTTTGTATTATCTGAGCCACTGCCTAAAAAAAGAAACAAAGCAAAACTTTCAGTAAGATCAATTAACAATTATAATCATGACTTATTATTGTTATTAAAGGTTCTTATTCAGAAAACATAGATCCCAGTGCATCTAGATGTATCATTATGCAAGATGAGATTAATTTATTAAGTTGGTGCACACGACACAATGTTATTAACTCCTGAATATTACGTATAATAATTATAGGCATTGTTTGTCATGTTATTGAAGATGCTGGATTTGATATTTTATCTGATGAGGCAATAGCTGCAAAGGAATCAGCGGTGAAACTCTGAGTGGATGACCAGCAATAAGACAATCTTCATATCATATTATAATTACTTAAAGTACTTCTTCAACCTTTGGATATCAGTTCCACCCATGAGCAGTACAATTTGTGAGCAATTCTGGATTTGATTTATACAATTCACTTCATCAGGAGTTATAATGCTTTTTGGAAGAATTTATATGCTGCAGCTAATGTTAAGCCGTCATCAGTTTTGTCCTTCTTAACATATAATTATTTCATCGCTTCGTGGGAAAAATATACTACAAAACAAAAGGACAGATCAATTGAGACATCACACTTGACATTTGATGAGAAAAATGCACTTTGGTACATATGAAGAATGAAGATGAGGATAAAGATGACCTTCTAGTAGTATTAGATTGCTTGGTTGATGCAGATCATGATGAATAGAAGGCTCAGCTGACAGTGATGATAATGACAATGTAGCAGACACACATATATGGGTCAACTCGATCAACAGTGGACTCATCAAATGCACTAACAATTTCTACTCCTTTTTCAGAGCAGTTGAACTAGAACTAAAGTGCTCACTTACACCAGACACACAACATCTAGGTCAACCAGAGCAGACAGCTCTAGTCATTTCTTGTAAACCACCAGTAGTAGATGCTTGGAGAGTTTTGATGGAAAATGAAGATCCAAGTGATGATCAAGAAGTAGTACAAACAACGATTACGATTCAGAATCTGGAAAGTGGGCGCCAGAAACTATTGAAGGAGATTGTTCTTTTGTACACGAAGATCAGGTTTCATGCATTTGCAAAAAAAATGACTGAAATTTACAAAAAAGAAAATGCCAAAAACTTTAAAAATCCAAAGGCCTCAGGACAAGCTAAGCTCAGAACTAGGCTCACAATGAGTTCTTCATGCATAAACACACTACCATTCATTATTAATTTATTTATTTATTTTTTTTAAAAACCAATTGTATTATATACGGTATGGGGAAGGTAGCTTGATTTCCGCGAACGGAAGTTTCCTATCCCTGTAACACTATTATCTATGTCTGAGGGCAGTTTTCTCATCAATACCGAAGGAAGCTATTATATGCCTCAGATGAAACACCAAAAGCTTTAATGGCTCGCAAATGAGTTTTACCTTTGTCGTATAAGCCTCTGAAGGCCATGGTAGTACCTTGCTAAGACATAGATTCCAATGCTTCATGTGCTTGGATATGATACGCTTCTTGTTACCAAATCGAG